CGTATGTACGTATGTACATACATACACGCATACATACATTCATTCAATCATACACACACATGTGCATGTCTGTCAGTATGTATACGTTTGTGTATACATTCTTAGAGATATACATGTGTTATGCATAAGGCAAGGACACCGCGAGTGAGTGTGAGCCATCTCATGCCGCCAGCCAAGCCACAGGGCTTTGCACATAGGCGAAAGGCTCGCCCCCTGCCCCTGCACACCCATCGATGCAACGCAAGAAGCAGACGTCAGCACATCACCGGGCCTGCACCTGCACCGCTGGCGTTCGGCCGGGCTCCTGGGCCCTGACCGTCGCGAGGGAAAAGGCGGGCCTGTTCGGTACGGCTTCGGATTTTGCCAAGGAAACGCCAAGAACAGGCCTGCCTGCAACAAGGTGATATGCTTCACCTTTGCAGAGAGGGCCACGCACAGCTTGCACAATGTTACGGAGCACTTCCGATGACGGGGCGCCAGTTCCGTGTTTCGCATTTCTAGCTCGATGATTCGCCGATCCTGCAGAGCCAAGAGCAGCGCAGAGGGCTCAACTGCCGAAGCAAGAACATATCTTCGGACTCCTTGGATTCACAGCGCTCGCAATAGATGTCATAGCACTCAAAGCAGCCCATCTCTTGACAGACATGCCTGGCTCCGCACGAGCAACACGTCTCAGACTTTGACCAAAGCAAAATTCAGTCTCCAAAAGAAGCCGGCCACGCTCAGTGCGTGGTATGAACTTGTATCCCGGAGGTGGGACCATCAACCGGTGCCCGCGAGCTCCTTGTCCCGCGTTCGCACAGCCGAGAACCAGTGGAAACAGGCCAATCGGGTCCTCGAGAGCCTCCCGGCTTGGATGCTCCAGCACCACCACCCAAGGCTACCCCCACCCGTTCCTTGGCAAGCGACAACTACTGGCCATAAGAAAAACAGCAGACAACGATGCACGAAACGAATTCAGAAAGTTGCGAGTCCGAGCCGCGGCCATCGCGTCCTCGGCTTGGACTTTTTTGCATTAGTAACGCTAGCGATCTGATTCCGATGCTGGCTCCATGAGAACTGACCCACGCATCCCACACACACACACACACTAACGCGCGCGCAGACTTACTTTTACACCTTGCCGCCATGCTGCCAGGGCTTTCAGGCTCTCAAGTCTCAGCGGAGCCTCAGAGCCCTCTGCTCTTTGCTAGGCATATTGGGGTGCGGATGGATACTGTGCTGTCTGATCAAGAACGGCCATCGGCACTGACTGACTTCACGTGCTCGGGCTTCCGCACACAGCGAGACAAGACCGGGCAATCTTCTTCACTTTTGATCCTTTCGCTAGGCAGTTCGCCGTAGCCCGGTGCAGCGGCACATGGCCAACGTCCAATGCCATGCCTCGAGGCTGAGGCTGTGTTAGTGATGGTGGAACCTCTGCGATGTGAGCCCGACATGAGCGTCACATGAGTCCGATATGAGCGTCGCTGAGTGTCACATGAGTCCGACATGAGTGCCGCATGAGCCAGAGCCCTGTGGCCTTTCAGCAGGGAGAACCAATGACTACAAAATGGGGTTGACAAGAACCGTCTTTGTCGAAAGATGGCTGTTCCTATGGTTTGCAGAGGTGAGGACGAGTGAGCCCAGAATAATGTCAAAATAAGGCCGACGAATTCGAAGACAAACCAAGATTCAAACCTGACGCGGCAACCCTAAATGCCAGCAAGGCTAACATCAAGATCAAAGCAAGGTCAGAGGGTGAAACAAAGCTGTGTAATTAGTGTAGTCGGTCTTAGGACCTGCGTTTGGCAAGCAAGCACGCCGAAGTAGAGTAGGAACCCGAGCTGCCTCCGCGGACCGCGAGTCAACCTGAACCTCCTGCTATCATTCTGGAAGAGGACACAGGGGCGGGTTCAACCCACGCCCCACGCATTGGGCAGCAGGTCTTTTTGCACCAGCTGGGGACGGAGGTCTGGAGCTCCTCAGGACCTGTACACAGCATCGGAGTTGCACAACAACTCACCTAGCGGAGTAGAGCTCCGAATCATCCTCGGTCGACCGCCACGCCCAGCTAGGATGCTGCACGCGTGTATTCCAGCCGAAGTTTTCTGCCTTTAAGCAGCGTGTCATTGAACTCCATTGCCTTTTCGACGGCTGCCTCATCAGCAAAATCGAGAAATGCCTTGCCTTTGGACCAGCCATCCTTGTCCACGAGCACCCTGACACGAGTCGGCCCTGAGCCACACTGAGAGAAGAGCTGCCTTAGATCCTTCTCTGTAGCATCGTAGGACAAGCCTCGAGCCATGAGCCCAAGAGAACCCTCAGGACGGTTCGGCAGTGCCAGAATGCCGCTCGGCTCAGAGCCTTTTCCCCTTCCGCCCTTTCCTCCCTTTCCTCTTCCCTTTCCTTTCGAATGCCCGGAAGTGCCAGCAGCTTGGTTTGGGGAAGCGTCATCTGCCCAAGCTCCACCTCCAGCCCAGCCCTTGCTCTGGCCTTTCCCCTTTGCATCGGCATCCTTGTTCTTGTCCAGGGCCAAGTTGACCCTGACCACGTTGCCCCCGATGTTTGTACCATCACACTGCAGAGCTGCCTTCACAGATGCCTTGTCAGAGAACGTGATGAAAGCCACGCCGCGGGATTCACCCCACTTGTCATACAGAAGCCAGACATGTGCGACCTCCCCCATTCTTCGAAAATGCCGTTCAATCCTGGCTTTATCAAACCACCAGGGAAGGTTGGCAGCACAAATCTTCAAACACTGGGCACTGTCGTCTGGATGACTCCCACTGCTTGTCTCTGTGGCTGCCTTCTTATCCTGCTCACCATGCTCGTCGGTGGCGCCTGCAGCGGCTTTATCGTCAGTGCATTTGATCGGCGCCCCTTTGGCTTTCCTCTTTTTTGGCTTGGAAGTATCCCCAAGTTTACACTTCTTCCGAACATCCGAGGGGTCGCGCTCGCACTGCTCATCTCCCTGTTCCCTCTGTGCAGGGGAGGCTTCTTGACTTGGAGGCTGCTCTTGTTGGTTAGGAGCGTCCTTCTGTGATGCCGTCGCCTTCGCTTTGCACTTCTTCCTCTTACCACCACTGTGGCTTTCTTTGCGCACTCGCTTCTTGGAGCCACTGGCTTGGAGGATCTTTTTTCTTCGTGCCACACTTTTGGATCCGGCAAGGCTGCCTTTGCAGTGAGCCGTTGCCGATTTGGCGGAACGCTTGCCATTCTGACTGGTCCCACCATCTGGCTCAGACACACAAGGCTGTACCGCTGCCGGCTGCGGTTTCTTTTTCCTCCTCTTTCTAGCAATCAAGACTTTTTTTTTCTTCCGCGTCTGCTTGGGGCTGCCCGCCGCCATGCCGCGCACAGGAGGAGGAGCACCCTGCTACAAGTAATTCTGGTGTGGGGGACCCTTGTGTCGAGGAAAACAGTGGAAGCTGGAAGCTGGTCTGCGGGTCACTGTTCTCCATGCATCCCTGGACCAGCCCATGTCTGTTCATGCGCTTGCTTGATGCAAGCTAGGTTCATCACATGCTGGTTCATCACATGCTGAGATCTGACCCCATCTTGTGACGCACGTCTCCGCTACATCCTACCACTGATGCCTGAGCTGAAGAAAGCATACAAACTGCCGTGTGAGGCAGGTCCTGCCAACGTGATCGATCTCACCCAGGCCTACCTAGACCAGAATAGCAACATCTCATGTCGGTGTTGTTTCGACTCGCTGGACACTGACAAGCAATGTGCCCAAGGGCCCATGCAGATCGCTGATGCAATAATTGTCGAATTGGGTTTTCGCGAGGTGTTGTGAAGCAGGTCTTCAACATTGTGTGCCTCTACGACTACGGTCGCTGATGGTGGCCTGACTCTATGTACGCCAAGAATGGCCACGACACAACGCCTCAACCATTGCACTGGCAAGTGAAACTTCTGAGATATGGCGAACACAACATGCGTTGAGAGCCGCTCAACCGTCATACTACAATACAGCCGGTATCAACTGACATGCGTTACCTGACAGCTGCAAAGGGCAAACACAAAGGGACACCTCTCACTTGAAAGCCAATGGCACAAGTTGGGCCCCAAACAGTCAGCCTCATTGCCGTCTGTTTACTGTTCACGGCGGGTCATCAGCCAAAGCGAAGCCACCTCTCGCCGCCAAGGTCTCGGCTGCCTGCCAAACAAATTGCACGGCAATGTGGACACATTCCTGGACGGCAAGTGCGGTGAAGCGGCTTGGTGTGCCATCGCCAGTGATCCACGCTTCGAGTGTAAAGTAGCCCTTCCTCCGGTTTGTCCGTCACCGTATGCTGAGGCGCCCTCACCGTGTGCTGCGAAAGCTTCGGCAGCCTCGGCAGCTCGTACTGACGGCAAGCAGCCTAGAACAGCCTGCAGGGCCTACGGGTTTTGCTGGCAAGGAACCCGACGAGCCATGGCCGCAGTACCATTCCGAAAGCCGCTTTCGGCTTCGATGGCGATGGGCTCCATGCTTGCGACGGCCTCGTCCGCCATGGCTGCAGTTAGGCGGTTTGAACCACGCTGTGCCTGGAGAATCTCGTCAATCCGCTGTCCAAGCCGCTGATCTGTCAGCCAAAGCTGCTCATCAAGCGCAGCAATGGCATTCTGCTCCTCTTTGAAAAGCGACCGAGCTTCCCGTACTTCTCCCGTGAGCTTCCGCTGGCCGGCGAGTAGCTCTTCTCGGATGCGCTCTTTGTTCTCCTGCACTTCGGACGAGAGCTCTCGGCCCAGGGTGCTCACCTGAGCCTGGAGGACGTCGACACTCTGCTTGGTCTCGGCGCTTTGCTCCCGCATCCTGTACTCGAACATCTCGCGCGTGGCACGTGCACTGGTCTGCTCGACCTCGAGCTGCTCCAGCCGACTTCCCAACTCTGTGAACCTCTTGGAGAGCTCTGAACTGCTGGAAGCCCCTTCATCTTGCAAGGAAAGTACTGACGCGCGAACTTCACCCGAGACTTCTTCTAGAAGCGAGGCCTGCCGATCCTCGACCCGCTTAACCACCGTGCCCAGCTTTTTGATCTCCAGCCGGGCCGATTCGACATCCTCGGCAGCGGCAACTTGAAGAGCATCGAAGCGGCGCGAGAGGCTCTGGTGTGCCTCTTGCACGTGTGCATCCAAGTTCTCCATGCGAGTGGACAGGGCCGCAGTCATTTCTGCACGTAGATTTTCGCAAGAAGACTCTACATCATCCAACCGTCTCGACAGAGTATGTTGCATATCCCGCCTTCGGGTCTCCAATTCTGGCTTGGCAAGTGTTGCCATCTCAACTTTGAGCCTTTCAATCTGAGACTCCAGATCAATGCGGGATGCCGCCATCTGTCCGATTTCGCGATGTAGTGAGTCCAGCTTGAGTCTATCTCCTTCTCCCACACTGGATACCGAAGACACCTCCTCCAGCACCTCCACTTTCACCTCGCTCTTCCAGCTAGTCAGCTTTCGATCAAGAGTCTGCACCAGCCGTGCCAGCTCCGCAAGCTCATGGCGAGTTGCATCCACTGATGCCGCTGCCGTTGCAATGTCATCGCCACTTTGGCGTTGCTTTGACATTACGTCGACCGACTGTTTCTGCAAATCGGACCACCCGGCACGCAACCGGGCGAAGTCCTCGGCCACAGACCTGCGGATGTCGTCAATGGCAACGCTGTGTTCTCTCAGGCGGCTCTGAACAACATCGCCATCCTGCTCAACCGTCAGCCGCAGCTCGTTCACTGTCGACATCACGCGTTCCACCGTTGCCAAAGCTTCGGCCTTGGCCTGACTGCTCGAGGAGAACTGGCGATCCGTGTCTCCAGACATGCCTTCCACAATTGCAAGTAATCTACTTTGCCCTTCTGCCAGGCTGCGCACTTGACTCTCCAGTTTTCGTCGAGCCTCATCCGCCTGCTGCACCGCCCGGCTGGCATTCTGCGATGCCGTGCTGGTCTCCTGCCGTGCGTGTTCCACCAGCTGCCTCATCTCCCCGTCCTGAATGAGCCTTACGGCTTGGTCGACTCTGTTGTCAACCAGGCACTCCACCCAGGATCTCAAGGCTGGTGATATATAGCTTGTGTCCCCATAGAATGCGGACCTCTGGGGAGAGGCAACTGCTGCCACCGAAGCGGGTAGCGGTGCAGCGGAAAGCCGCATAGGTGGCTGCGCAATTGTGGCCACATAGCTGGTGGGCGAGTCAGACCGTGAGGAAGCCGGTACGACTGGGACGGTGGTTGCATCGACAAAGGTTCGCACCCTTGCCTCTGGGACGGCCATGTCTTGTAGCGCTCGCTGGCGCAAACCCTTGAACCGAAACACTGATCCCGGCATTCAGCGTGCTGCGCTGTAGTCGCGTCGCCAGTCACACAACTTCGGACTTCTGACACAAAGTGTGCCCCATGTTTCATACTTTCTCAGTTGCGCCTTGCACACGACACCCGCTACTCTCTTGCCGAACTCTCTTTCTTCGATTCGAAGTGTCGTAGCGATTGCATACAAAGATGAAACCCAAAATTCTCACCTTCATCTCCGATGCTGACAAAGACTTCATTCAGATCAGTCCGGACCATATGCTTCGTGGCATGACCTTTAATACCGCGTTGTGGACATGCTTGCATGTTCTGTTCTGCCTGTACTACGGTTGGAGACGCTGACACTTTGGGCAAGGCAGAAATGTCAAAGCGGGCTTTCTGGGATCAGGATCTGCAAGACCTTTGCAGGACTTTGGAATGTGCGTCCCAAGGGCTGTCGTAACAGTAGTAGTCATGCTTGGTCTGCAGGGAGGCCTCAAGTCCACGCTTCGATATGTTCGGCGATTGGGATATCCGGCAGGAGCGATCACGAAGTCAACTAGAATACACCTGTCCCACAAACTAAACCTAGAAGGCTGTAGAGGTGCGGGGAGTCAACAGGCGAATTAACCATCACTCATCTGGCCCCTGGAAAACTGCAAGCAGCATGGCCTTGCACAGGAATGCCAGCCTGCCTTTTCTTCGCTGCAAGCATGCTGACCCGAAACAGTTGGGAACTCTAGCAGTCTTTGCCTGCACAAGAAAGATGCATCACGCACGTCTTGCGACAAGCGACCCGACACGCGCCAACCCTGCCGCTCTTCAAGTCCGTGTTCATGCTGTCCAGGATCACTTTGCGCCACACCGAGTCATCGTTGCATGTATGATGGCCGGGATCGTTATTTCAAAGCTCTGCTTTCTTCATCACATCCTGCACGTCAGGATATGGCGGCATGCGAAGCTAAAGCCAAGCAGAGCAGCAGTAAGCAGGATCCAGAGTAGCATGGGTACAAGGATGTTGCTGCGGATTATGCAGCTCCCTCTTCGCTGCCATCTTCCTCTGACTTTCAAATGCTGAGTCTTCACACTACCTCCTGGCCCCTATCACCACATAAGCCACAGGCACCATCTTTTTATCTTGGTTAGATCAAACTTAGATCCCTACATTTTGCGACCAAAACGGGTGGTGCTGCAGCCAACCATCTTGTCAGCACTGCCACTGACGGGAAACTAGCTGCTACCTGCTCGACTCTACTGGATGCAGACAGTACACTGGAGGAGTATGCTATGAGAAGTGACACCAATTAACCTAAAGACGGCATGCCAGCCTTCAATTTCAAAACGCAGGCAGCAATGACACGAGTGCCGAAGGAAGGCGTATGCAATTGCTCAGAATAGGACCGGACTTCAATAAATAGTGGTTAGTTCAGATCGCCAACTGGATACCCATACAGGCGTAGTGACGGCAGAGTCCTCCACCCCCTCGACTGCGCAAGGACGGCCATTTGCACCTGTGCATACCTCGCGGGATATGGTGACATGCTTAACACGGACGGCGGGCGACTTCAAGTTGCGTTTGCCTGTGCTGCCGCCCTTGAAGCTGCTGCACAGCTCGAGGCGGCCTGCAATACTGCGATTGAAATCTGCTGGGCCTTAACGAGACATGTCACCTTGGGCAAGCAGCCTGGCACAGACCCAGCTCGTGAAAAAGTGCTTCGGAGAAGCGCTCCGGCTCCAGAACATCCTTCCGAATGTCAATCCGGATGGGGTGTACAGTCTGACATGGCAGGAGGAACAAGCAGACGTCCTTGCAAGTCAAAGTCAGCATTGTGTCCTCGTTTCGGAAAAGGAAGAGTTCAAGTACGAGCAGAGAGCATGCGGCACTGCGGCATTGTCTGCGCGATCTGCGGCTACAATGCGGCTACAATTACAAGCTGAGAGCACATCCTCTTCGGATTCTTCTGACTCTGGAGGCTGTTGCTTGCCATCCTTGGCGAGGCTTCGCCATTTTTCTCGCTTTTGTCTCCGCTTCTTCGGCGCCGGTTTCAGGACATAGCGATTCAGTTGCTTGTCCAGCTTCGGCCGCCAGCGGTCTGTCCAGTCGGGTGGCAGAGGTGGAGGCTCCACGCCAAAATAGTTTGGGATTGAAAGGTCTGGGCCTCCTGCGCAGATGCCCTCCAGAATCGAGAGAATGTCAGATTCGCTTCGCAGGCTCTTGGGCTTGGGAATGACTTCCGACACCGTTTCTTCCAGCACTCTTCGGCAAACATCACATCGCAGATCTGCACGTGCCGTCCGAATTCGCGCCTTCGTAGCGTCATCCAGGTAGTGCAGTGGATCGTCGCGGGCCATCTCGAGCAAACGCTGGATGCCGAACTTTGAATCCTCCGGAAGCGACCGCATTGGATCTTCCTTCTTGCGCTTCTCCTCCACTGCCTCTTCCTTCTCAGCCATTTTGGCTCCTAAGTCCAGAACTGAGGCTCGCAAAATGCACTGAAAACTCTACGAAGAAGCGGCTTGCGCCGAGCGACGCTGTGCCAGCCGTTTCTTGTCGTCGCTGTCTTGCTTCTTCTTTCCCTGGCGGCATGTAATCTGTCCCATGAAGCTGAGCGTGCTAAAAAGAAAGTCATCGGCGGAATGTGCCTTCACCCCTTTGCCACAGAGCTTCGCGGAGCGAATGCAGAATTCCTGAGCAGCTCCTGCTGGTGACTGCTTTCCCTCCTGCGAGGGCAAAAGGAAGACCTAAGCTTGAGAGGAGAATCGGACGGAAGTGTCATGCGGTGCACCTATGTAATAGTCCTTCACGGACTTGTACACATAGCCGGACGTGTCGCCACCGTAGTCTTCCAACCACTGCTGGCAACCCATCTTGAAAACCAGCATGGATCTCATGAAGCTTTCCTGCTTGCCAGCTTCAGCTGCCGCTGCCATCCTTGTAAAACGCAGGGCGCAAGGCTGATCTCGTATAACCGAAACTGTTCAGGCCGTGGGCGCACTCTCATCATCATCCTCATTCTTGGCGTCTAGTGAGGGCTCTCCATCCAGGTTGAGTCGATACTTCCTTAGATGTTAGCAGAATGCTGCGCTCTCGGAAGTTTCTGGGAGCTTTGGTCGTTGTGGCCTCCTGAAGACTCCTCGACCGTGTTTGTGTTTTTTGTGTGGAGACATGTCCAGGCGTGGCCTCGACCATTTGCCACCGGACGGATGATGTATGGCAATGTATGGCTCGACTTGTTTCAGTTTGGCTAGCTTGGCTTTACTTCGGAGTGGAATGTGCCTATGAGAGCAAACCAAGGCCAAAGACTGGTAGTTGCTGAGTTGGCTCCCGAGTGCTGTTCAAGAGTTTTCGAGACTAAACATCCCAGGTGCTTGGAGCAATGCATCCGGGAGTCTGCAGCAAGGCCAGGCACATCGCATTCGAAGTCTCCCAGATCCGCTCCTCGGATCCCGCTCCTTGGCTGCTGCTTGATCTCCTTTGCCATAAAATTCTTCACAAGAAGCAGATGCGAAGATGCACCTTGTTCGGTCATGGAATGCCGCGCAACCTCCATGTGCATCTCACCTGGGATGGCCAGCAAAAGGAAGTGTCAAGACACAGTTTGCACCTATGAATCTTCACATTGGCCGAAGACCAGTAAGCCTTCGACTAATGACGGCCTTGCAGATGCTGCACTCGAGTTTCTTGAGGGCAGTCTTCTCCTGCTGCTGCCCAGCTCCACGCGACATGCCGTCTGTGCGTATACCTATCCTGACTTTGGTCGGGATATGTTGGGGCACTTTTCGGCGGTTCCTCCCAGGTTTGGCACATACTGCAGACAAATGCCAGAATCAATAAATGAAGCAGGGTAATTGCTTTGCCTTGAAACGTTGCTCCCATTTGGGAGTTGCTGCCTAAAGCTTGACTGCACACGGCGCCCGCCTGCTTGGTCAGGCGCACCTGGACTCCTACCTTGTCTGGTATAGACTCTTCCGCCCAACAGCACCCACCTGCCAGCCCGAAGCTGGGTTTCAACAGGCACGCCTGACTGCAAACCCGCCTCCCAGAAACAGCACCAGTGCTGACCAGAACCTGGCATCTGCAGAACACTGCCGAGTTGTCGTAGCCACACTGTCTCTCTGCCTCCTCATTGCACCTGCCCTTGAAATGCATCGGCATCCACGGAAATTCGGTACACCCTAGATCATTGAAGGCAAGCTTCCGACCTAGCTACAAGCGCATGGTTACGGCTCGGTTTCAGTGCTGGTTTCATGTCCCATCGCGCACGATGCGGCCTGATGCTTTGAATTTGTTTCCGCTTTCACTGAGCCAAACCATGCAACCCCTGTCTTGAGGCTGGAATCGCGAGTCAGAAGCCTCAAAGTCTGATCTACAAATGCGAACAGTGCGGGCGGCGTGCCAGTTCCCTGCGCGGCGGACCCCTTTTTGATGTCACATCACGCCAAGCGAACTCACAAGTGGTCATACCTGCGGTAGTAGGGCTCCCAGATTGCCTTGTTGTAGCCATTGCTCTTCCATGGCTTTCTCATGCCGTTCCAGTGTAGAATGTGCAGTTGCCCAGTTTCGTCCTTGTTCTTCTGATCTAATCCGAAACCCAAGGCGTTCCATTCCTTCTCGAACACGATGAAGTCATCTGAATGGTTTGGATCGTGCAGTTGGAAAGCCAGAGTTAAAGGAGGCTGGGAACCTCCCTTCCAAAGCCCACCTCATATCTCAGGACTCACCAGGTCGATTTCCAACAGATGCCATGGACATGCAGCTAAGCCACCAGGACAGCTGTTTTGGAGCCGCACCAGCTTCTCGATGCGGGGGGCTGCTTTCACGGCGGCCCAGCGCTCCAAATTGACCGCAAACACCCCTCGCAGACTCACTCGGTGCAAACGATGCAAAAAAATGTTCAACTAGAATGGAAACGGAGAGCTGCCCAACTTTCCAAAGCCCCTGCTCTCGGCTCCTGTGTTGTATGCTGTCAGGTTCTTCAGCTTGCTCCAAGACACATCCAATTCCGGCGCGCACTTGCCGGTCAGGAAATTTGGATACATCTTGGTGCTTCTGGAGACAAATCCAATCGTCTTTCCAGATTGCTGCAGTCTCTTCTGAAGCTCTTTCACATCCTTCTGGACAATGGTGTCGGCATCAAGCCAAACTGCGAATTTCATCTGCGGAATGATCTTGTCCTTTTCTCCAAAGCAGCAGTTTCCACAAACCCGCCAACGAGCTACATGCGCACAAAAGTCCGACAGAGGAAGCTGGACAGTGCTTGCAGACATGTGGATGACAACAGCTTCAGGAGTCCATGTAGATTCTGGCATACACCTCTGGGTCATCCAACTCGCCACGCTCCTGATGGACTGCGCAGTTCTAACTCTGCTAAACACTTCAAGATTCACGAGACCCTCACTGGCATTCCATACTCCGGACTGCTTCAGTCTCTCAGATAAATCTGCGGACCCCATGCTGCTACACTCAGGCTGGGGTCTGAAACCCTATTCACGCCGGAGACCCCAGCACCAACGCGCAACAGCCAACTCGATCACAACATGTTCACATTTTACCGGTCGATCTAAGGGGGCGAGTCCAACGAGGTCACATGATGTCGCAACACACCACGAAAGCTCGTGACCAAGAGCATCACGGGTACTTGTACCGCCCTGCTGCAGCTTAAGTCAATTTACGTCCTAGCACAGACTGACACAGCAAATATTTTTAGCTCGGCATCTGCAAGGCGCCACATGATTGGGAAAGTGACTCAAGAATTCTCGGGCGGTCCTGACGTATCCGAATTGGTATCTTGCCTCTGTCCGCCTCCACGACGGTGGTCGGTATCTCATGGAGGGAGATGACCTGTACAGAGCTGTTGCGGGGGCCCTGACAAACAAGTCTTCGTTGCCTTACTAGCGCGACCATTTCTACGAGCCAAAAGGTCAAGTATCAGTTGCAATCGACAGATTTCGGGTTAAGGCCAAGGGACTGCACCTGCAGATGTGATCCTTTGGGTCGACTCGATGCTCAACTCACGCCGCAGCCGTTCCAGGTGCTTGCTTTGCACCATAACATGGATGACCAGTTCGCTGGGTGAGGCAGACGATGCAATGCAAGAGGCGATGGAGGCTTTGAGGCCCGGAACCACATCACTATCGGCAGAATACACCACATGGATCTTTCCAGCAGAGCTCTTCTCACTTCTATGCTCCAGAAGCTGCCGTCGCATGACATGTTCTGGTCGTCCTCGGCCTGGGCTTCAAGAAGCAATAGACTTCAAGGAAGCGTCTTCGATCCCTGACTCCCCGTGATCGCAGAGGAGCCAGAAAGCATCTCCGCACTGCCAGGCACCCCATCGGCATCGACAGTGAACCTTCGGGGCTTTTTTTGCTCACTGCTTGCTGGGAGCTTGAGATACAGGCCGTGCAGGTGAACAAGCACCTCGCAGGAACAGCTCCCGCAAGACCTGCACACAGGACCACAATGCCTCAGTCGAGCATCTCGCCACGAATGTGCCGGTCGCATCTGCTGCTTGTAAGTCCGTGACAGACCACTGATCGCTGCATCATTCCATCAAACCAGGCTGTACAGTTGGAAGCCGCCGGGGCTTACGGACATGGATTCTCAAACTGACCTGACCTAACAGACAAACGCTTTCGGTGGACAACCGGGGTTTCGACTGTTCCAGGCAGGCTTCTTCGCAGTTTCCAAACATGCAATCACTCTGCCGGCAGATCCCAAAGCAAGAAGCAGACATGCGTGATTTTCCGTCCCTGCCTGTTAATGTGTAGGCCAACTGTTGGAAGGTGTCCGCAACGAATTCAAGCCTAACTTTACTACGCATGGGCTTTGTTGACGAAAGCCAATGCAAGACCCGCTCCAAATTGTCCAGTCGACGTGATGGAGCATTCTCCACTTTGCGGATGAAGGCTCCATGTTGGAGCCCACCGTTCGTCGAGTGGCGGCGAGGCCGCGAGGAGTCCGAAGGAGCCAAGAGCTCTGGCAGCTTTACTTTGCAAGCCACGAACGGCTAGTGCTGCAGATTCTGTGCACCGTCGTCGAATTGAGCCAAGACCGCTGGATGCTTAGAGCCCAAGAGGGAAGAGGTCACTGTGCTGCTCTTCTGGTGCTGTTGCGACTGACTGCTATTCGTACGGACTAAGCATCAGCGCCTGTACAGCTTTGGATCGGCATGGGCTAGGAACATGCAAGTTGAAAAGGCTCAGGTTCTCCGCGTCTTGCCGTCAAAATTCCCCACATTGAAATCAGGCATTAGAGCCACCTTCAAAAACCAGCAAATGAGTCGGAGCCTGAAACCTTGTGCTGATGCGGTCACGCTGCAGACAGGAGTTCGTCAACCAGCAGCACCTGCTCTTGTTGAATCACCTTGCATCACCCGGCCTTGCGCTTGATCTGGTAGCGGCTGTATCAACCACGGATCCCGCGGTCGGTCGAACATGATCCCGAGAGTTATCCTGAGAGGGCCCCAAGGCTGCCATCTGTCGTATCAAGCAATCATGCGACGGCCACCGCAAGAAGACAACGAAATACAGCTGTTCGAGTAGAAAGATCGAGCCGTATACTCACGTTTAGCGAACCGCCAGTTTCGGCTGTCTTCAGGAATGCCAACAGCAGAGAGGTGTCTGACGAAACAAGGAAGCAGCCAATCCCCGCCCCATGCCTCCCTTGCGTCGGGTCCTGCCAAAATCTCCCGAGTGCAGCTCGCACGGCGAGGAGAAGACGCGTCAAAACCCATCTCTTCCTACAATGAAGCCCCAAACCCAGCCGCCGGAGGACATCAACCTCACCCTTCCAGTCGAACTAGCAGGGTTCATGCGTAGCTGACAACCCGCTGAATGAGTGTTTGCTCATTCAGCCGGGGCTCATTGCTTGCTTCTTGGTACGCTTCCGCTTGTCGCCTCAGCTGCACCCTAGGCCTGAGCCTCTGCCGAATCCTTTCCCTCCTCCTGGGCCACGCACCACCGACGCTGAGCGGGATCATCCCATCGAAGCCGCTGCAGAATTGCTCCACTTGCACAACCCCGGTCGCCAGCAGCGTGTCAGCAGTCCATCTGTCCTCACTAATGCCAAGAGAAGTCTTCATCGGATACTGATTGCTCAGCATGCTTACTAATGGGGATCCTCTTCATTCGATGCTTTTAACGGCTATACTGTGCTGCGTTCAAGTTCCCAACTGCAGGATAGATTGCCAAGGAAGCTGGAGAGGCTTCAAGTTCACTTGCTGATGAGCTTCGTAATCCCAGACCGACACTTCCAGCGCGACCTCGCCGTTGTATGTCACTTTGCCTCCAAACGGGGATCCGAATCTGTTGACAAAGCACGTTATTGAGGTATTACACAAGCCGTGGGGTCATTCCGACCTTCACAATCCCAAATGGGATCGCCCCCTGCATCTGCGAGAACGCTGGTCCTTACCTCCTGCCATGCGATCCAACAGTGGCAGTGCCCTGAACAAGGCTCTGTGTGCCAGGCAAGACATGATCTGCTCTGTCCTCCCGGCTTCCACGGAAACGAACAATGGCGTATGGATCCAGCTTGTCAAACCAACTACCACCAGACAGGTTGGCTGCGTTCCGGATGCTGATGGTTGCCTGATGAGGGCGAGCTGCATGTGCCGTGCATGGGAAGCTTCTGCAACCCGGAACATGTGATGTTGGAAATATCCGTCTGAGCCCATCGCTTTGACTCCTTTGTAGGCCATGCGGAATTTACTGGGATCCACCGCTTCCTCCGGCGCGCCTTTTGATCCCAGTATACCTGCCGACATGCATTCAGCTTCAAGCACGAGCACGAGCCTCCTCCGAGCAGATTCAAGCGACAACGAAGGCATTCTCGCTTATTTGCTTTGCCATTTCATAGACTGGTTCCCGTTTTGTGCCTTTTCGTAGAAGCTCGTTCTGCTCCTCGTTTTCCCACCTCTGCATCAGGTCCTTCACATGCTCCCTGATTGTTGATTGCTTCTCCTCGCATTGCCAGCCAAGGACCAAAACCGGCACAGGCGAGCGATTGCAAAACGTCGACTGCTCCGACCGGCAATTGCAGCTACTCGATACTCGACACTGGCATGTGTCCAGAGCTTGTGCTCGGCAAGCTTGCACGAAAGCTTTCTCACGCTGGCTCTTCTTGATGAACTCCAGGAATCTGCACACATCACAGTGTTGCATCGTGGGGTGGTGTACACTGCCAAAGTATTCAACAACGAGTCTGCGGCTAAAGCTCACTCCGGACAACAACGTGCAACTGAGATTAGCTAGCAGATTCACCTTCACACTGTCAAACTGTCCAGGCACCTCTGGTTCGCGATCTTCATGACCACAATCCGGTCCATCACGCCTGCTGCGCAGAAAACGCTCTTCACACAACCAGTGGAACAATGACCCATCAGTCTTCCTTTCTTCGTGGGCATCCGCCTTTCTGCTCAGCGGCATACATCGCAAAGTTCTCGAGGTGCAACCGATAGGGCCTCGAGGCTGACATGTCGTTGGCAAGCGCACTCGCGCAGTCCAAACGCCGCCAAACTGCAAAGCTGCCGCCGCCCCCTCGAGCGCTTTGGCAAAGACCGATCCAAGCCTGGACTGCCATGGATGCCAGGGTCCCCGACTGGGCCCTTGAAGGACATGGAGGCTAATGAGCCCGTGGCATGAGGCGCTCGTGGCCCCAAACCTGGTTCTTCTGCAAGGTGAAGAGCGCCTCGTCGGGAGGAGAGGAGTGGAGCGGAGCGGAGTGCGAAGGCTTCGATGGTTTCTTCGTCTCTTTGGGGCCTGGTCGGTCCAAGTCCTCTGCTTGGGCGCCACCATGACGTTGTAAGTCTCGTAGTCCCATTTCACCTGTGCCAAGCCCAGGTTCTCTTCAAACGTAAGGCCCGACTCAAGCGCTTCAGTGCAGCTGGATGGCAGAGAGAAAGACTTTTCCGGCAGGTTCTGTCCTGAGCTTGCTTTGGGCTCTAGGTCTGGCTAGAGGAGACGGCCGTTGCTCGCGCCAAGCGGCAAGTCGGCATCCTCCTTCATCATCATTCCAACGGCCGACTTAGGTCGTCGAAGCTCCACCTTGCCACGCCATCCATCTGCCCTCAGTAGGTCGGTGAAAGCAGCTCAACAACAGGTCTTCTCTCAAATCTTTTGTGTTGCAACTTGGCTACAAATCGTCTACCAAGAGCGTGCAATTGCCGCAGAGGTCGTCCGATGTGAACTTGTCATAGTCCATGACCTGAGTTCTTTGTACAAAGCAATGGGGCGCCTGGCAAGGCTTCCGACGAGCTGCCGTTATGGTAAGCTCCTCCTCTCCGTTGAAGGTCAGTACCCCTTCATAGTTGAAGACCGGATTCACCTGATGTCGCACTTCTGTCGGTCATGTGCCAAGACTGCATCACCAAGAATTGAGGCAAGAACTCCCATGTTCCACTGGACCTGTTATCAAGGCAAGCTGACAGGCAGCCTAAACTTCACTGGCTCACGTCAAAGCGCTGCCCGGGAGCTGGGGTCTGGAAGCGCTTGTATTCACCCAGCTTGACGATGCAGTAGGGATCCAGCTTGTCAAAGATGGATTCGCCTGCGGGCATAAGCTCATCAACACATCACTTAGCAAACTGCATGCTGAAAGCCGAACTGCACAGAACTCCACCGGACTCGGCAAAGCTGCAGGCACTGCAGGCGCCTGCCAACTTCTCAGCCTTTTCAATGTACACGTGAAGGCGGGTTCGCTTGGGAGGTCTAGACTCGGGCCGCTCGATCAGAGTGACCTGAGCTCAACTGAAAGAAAATAGTCTCAACGCTGTACGACGGACTAGTGCGTGTCATGCCCATTCACTCCATTTTCTGCTTATTGCCATCATCAAAACTGCATTGGCATCTGCATCATAAGCATCACTAGCCGTGTTTCGCCTTCGATCGCCAGATGCACTGTTGTTTCACTTCGCTGTGGACTTTACCGACAAGCTGCCCGGTCTTGTCAAGCCGATACCGTGCCGTCGGCTTTGCAACTGGATCCGGACGTGCACCGGCACGAACGGAGCGCAACACTGGGTACGAGACCGGAACTTGCGCAAATACCAAAACAACAGTCGAGAGACGTCGACATGATGGCCGAGATGCAGCGAGATTAAACCGACTGGAAGACGGAAAGTGAACCGGAAGAAAGCCTGAACACCGCAGGGCTGTTTGCAATTCTCCATAATTGCATCCTGCATGGGGCCGGAACACTGCCTCACTTGTAATCAAACTCTGATGTTCCACTCTTGCTGCACCCCGGTATCATAATGCGCCGTGCTAGCTGATCCTGCCCGACTAGGACTCTAAGGCGGGCTGTGCCGTGCCTTCTTCGCATGCCCTCACACCTTCGCTTCTACGCCATCACGTCACGCATCGCAGATAAGCCTCACCCCTCCGGTCTCCGGCCCGGGCCACGCGGCCCGGGACCAACGATAGACGTTGCAAATGCACATCTGCTCAGCTGTTTCGAGTGGCGCCTGCTGGTGGTGGGTGGGAGCCGGTTGGGAGTGGTTGACACTGCAGACGGTGGAAAAGAACTGTACAGCTGCCTGCGTAACCAAACGCAAGCTACGAGTCAAGATCCCAACGTCGGCTCGGACCTCAACACCTCGGCAGCTCTGACACTGATTGCAGCACTACTTTGCGAGCCTTTGCTCTGCTTGCATGTGTGATGTGAGCGCAAGGCTGCCTTCTTCGACATAGAACACCTGAGCTTGCTTCTCCTAGTAAAATATGCAGAGGGCGAGAGAGACAGACAGAGAGAGAGAGAGAGAGACAGAGAGAGACCGACAGAGAGAGAGAGAGAGAGACAGAGACAGAGACAGAGACAGAGACAGAGACAGAGACAGAGACAGAGAGAGAGAGAGCGAGAGCGAGAGCGAGAGCGAGCATGATGTAGCGATGGCTAGAAGCGGACAGGGTGATGCACGTGCAGATGCATACCTGACGTGTACTAAGGCCATATCATGATATCATGGCACTGTCCAAGGCAAGTGGCACTCTCGTCAAGCGAATCAGTCGTCAGGATCTCGTCACCCGGTTTCGGGTGTAATACTGCAACCAACCTGGACATCTCATCTAGCCTCAGAGGAGAATGGCCGACGAGGTCTGCAATAAGCCATGCTGGAAGGCTTCAAGTGCCGACATCTCAGCTTTGGGTCAGAGGGCGCTGTCTTCACCGCGCTCGAGCAGGTCTCGAAAAGCTCGGCCCTTTCGGCTTCACTCCTTGGTGCACACTTGGGCCCAAGGTTGACATTGGAGGGATGGCCCCCTTTCTGCCCCTAAAAAAAGCCTTGCTGTTTCCGAGCCGGGGACAGGGACTCTGGATCCACCCTCGGCTTCGTCGGATCTGGCTCGGGCCTGGCAGAAAAAGGCCCCCCAGGCTGAGGCTCCTTGAAAAACCACGGAAGACTTAAAAAGAGCCAACAGGCAGTTCTGCTCCAGTCCCGCCCTGGCCCTTTTCAGAGCCTCCCACTGCGCCGCAATGAGAAATCAAGAGTCGGGCGATGGCTCGCTCTTTTGCAACAGCTCACAGGGTCCCACGACCAGATGCACCCTAGCAAGAGCGCATCTGTGCCGGCGACTTCTGTTTCTGCCTGTCGCTTGTTACCCTTTGGCAGTCACGGATCTGCACACCCGAGCAAAGCCCAAGCGCCCCTGACTTCCAGAATAAAAGCACCCTTGCCATATCCGATCCCGCCCGCTCCACGCCGTGCCCATGCAAGGTGAGCAGAAGTCTTCATCATCAGGGAGGCTCACGGCAAGCAATAGTGCGGCCCAGCCACAGCACAGCCCGCGCGAGGGCCACCGAATGCCGTATCTTCTGAGCAATGCGTCGGTTGCCAAACACTCTGTCTGCAAAGCAGGCCTGCTCATGAAGATGTCTGCTGACAGACTGGTGCCAAACTTGAAACATGGGCCATCCCGCCTCAAGAACGTCCCCTGTCACGATACCAACCATGCAAGGTTCTTCGCAATGTGCAGAGCCACCAATGGCATCATTGATTTCCTCATCGGCCAACCTCCGCAAGAAGCACTTCAGTCACGCTGTGAGGCAAGCCTATTCACCGGGACGGCCTGAACGGGTGCTCACCGAACATGCTGCCGGGTCCGATTTCGATAAAATCACCGAAACCATTTGGGTCGCGATACAGGTTGATCTTGCCTCAGGGCACACGGCCGGACTGGCAGCGCAAGCAGTCGTCCGCAATCTGCTCGCGACGTGCTCGGAAAGCATTCATTCAAGTCCGGAGACTGCTCTTTCGCTATTCCAGAAATGTTTCTGCAAAGCACACTCGTGCAGTTTCGACCTTCGAAAAGAGATCTTCAAGCCCAGCCACCTGTGAGCAAGAGGAAAGATCGTTGCGACTCAGTGGGAGGCCACTCGGCTTTCAGGTTTTCGCTGCCATAGAGCCAACGCCCCACCGACAGCCTGCATGAACAATCAAGGAATCAGAAGAAACTTCGAAACGTACCGACCAGATGCAGGTTCTGCCTAAGGAACGCCATGGCACGCAGAAACCTGGCCGGCAGCTTTGGGTTCACGTGCTCAGGGGCTTTGGCTTTAGCATGCTCTGGTTGTCTCAGTCTGGGCCTGTCCAACTGGTGGTCATCCAACCGCTGGAAAAGAAGCGGATGTGAATTTCGAATCTCCTTCCCAACCACCTTTGCTGCCAGAGAAGCCACGCCAATTTCACTCGCACATTCACGAAGCAGCACTGCTAAGCCAGAAAGCCTTTTCCAATGCCCTCATATCCGATGCTAGCTTCTGTGGTATACGCCGTCCGCCTCGGCATCCCAGAAACATCGCTGCTCAAGTTTCCTTCCCTCTCTGCACTCCCGGATGGCCACGGAGTCAACATGGGCTCCCTGCGCTTCTCGGTGGTCAGGGCTAATTGACGGCACCTGCCGCACCCGGAAGCTGAAGCGGCGCTGGTTCAATAGATGCAAGCGCCGGAATGCCTGTAATAAAGCGGCAGTACTCGGTTTAGACTGTTCGGATTGGCCTGGGGAAGCACATGCACCAAGCTTGCTCCTGGCTATTTGTCCAAAGAGCATGCCTCCTTTGCTGCTGCCACTGCCTTGGTGAGTTCGGTGGTGATGCTTTGCTCACCGAGCTACACAGCAAAACGGACCCACCTTTCGATTCATGGCCGGCCGGCCGATCCAAGTGTTAGTGGAAGCTGCCATGGCACCTGAACTCTCGCTCTCGTCCGATGTTCGGAGGCTCATCAGCAAAGCAATTGCAGCTGCCGCCTTGATGTGATGCTCCGGCAAAGCCCTCGGAGAGTGACAAGGCGGTGTTCCGTTTCCTTGGTCCCGGTCACGCGCAGCATACTCCCCGAAGCACTGCTCGAAGTGCAGGTGACTGGGCCAAGTTTCTTCTCCGAGGCAAGATCTGGTAGGCTGATCGTCCGATTGTTCATGGCTGTCATTGTAACTAATGTCGATATATGTCCATAACACTCAAGACAGTTGAGGACACCCACTTCTCAGCTCGACTGCCGCTGGCATCTGATGCCGGCAAGAACGATGCTTGACCTTGTTGTGGTGAAGCTGCTTGGACCCCTGAGCCTCTCAACTGCAGATTGTGCAAAACACCTGATGTGACGTGCAGCTGCGCGAGGCTTGGCTTCGAGACTTCGAGTTGGCACGATCTTGTTTTGCAGGTTACCCTTTGAGGGTAGCCAGGTCGGAAGGATCCGGTCGAGGGGGCAGCAAGCACTCAAAGTTGCTGTCTACCAAAAAGCAGGGCTTTGAAACCGCTTCTTCCAAGTCTTGAACTTGGAAAGACTGCGAGCCGATCGTCCTCTTCTCCAAAAATGTAGGTTTCTGAACCGCGACATGATCCAATGGACGAGTGGCAAGCGACGTGTGCCAACCTTGCTAGCGGCAGCAAAACTGCGGAATGCGTGCTTTCGAATTCGGAGTCCTCTCGATTCCGAGACATCCCCCGTCAAGTCATGAGAGCTTTCGTGCCTGCTGTCATCCCAAGAGCTGGCTCATTTTGTCGAAGGGCTGGGTCCTGACACGCTGCAGCGCTGTTGACCTACGCGGCAGAACCTCTCGCGAAATTTTGCATATCCTGAGGTGCATCCCACAAGATGCCGATGGTGATCATGCTCCTTGGTAGAGCCACGGTCGGAGAAAACCGGCACATGCATTCTATCTCGCTTTTCGGGGCCAAGTGGCTGCTTTAAGGTCTTTTTCTTTTTCTTCTTGTCAGACGGCAGGCCTTGGTGAACACGGGGTAGGTTTGCGGCTGGACCTTTAGAGAGGATTTTGCTGTTTCACCAAGCAGCTCAGCGGGACCATGCCCTCAAACCCGTTGCAGAACTGCTCCACCTGAAACATAAGGCACGATCGACACTCGCATGAGCTGGCTGCGATCGGCCTGAACAACTCCGGTGCCGACGAGATCGTCAGAGCTGTAATGGTCCTCAGCACCATGCGGACCGTCCCTGGCCCTGTACAAAGAAGACCGTGTCCTCCAACTTGCATGGTGCTGTGCCAATTTATCCAAGGCGCATAGTCCCAAACAGAAATCTCCAAAGCAACTTCGCCGTTATACGCCAGAGGCCCTGAGCCCGCAGCCGCTAATTACATGAAACTGCCTAGGCTAGAAACAGCTTTTTGCAATGCTGCTGGGGCATGCCTTCACAGTTCCATATGGGATCTGAACCGGCATCTTGAAGAACACTGGTTCCTTTGATGCTGCCACACATGCGGATGCTGCTGCATGGGGCTGGTTGTTTGTCCAAGCCACTGAACTCGGATTTACTGCCACGAAACCTCACGACAGCATTCGAGCGCATTTCCAATCCAGCGCACAACTGCAAAGCAAGGCTCTTCAAAACAGGCTCTTTGGCAGGGGCCTGATAATCGCATACGGGTCGAGCTTGTCAAACCAGCCACCACCACTCAAATTCAGTGCATTCCGGACCGATATATGAGCCTTGGTATTGCAGGGGTGCTTCCCTCTTGGGCTGCGGAGTTTTGGTGCCGCACCTTCGTGCCACGATAAGCGACCCGGAAGCGGCTGGGGTCTACAGCTTCTTCCACTTTCGACGTGTCGAACAAGCCTCTACACGGGGGAATCATCCGATTTTAACAGCAGAGTACGACAGTTACCTTATAGCCCGTGATAGCCCGTGCCTTTCCGCATGGTATCAGCCTGATCTTCAGTCTCCCATCGCTCAATCAGCACCTTGATAATCCCCTGGCCGCAACAAGGGGTTTTCCGTTTCAAGTCAGACAAGAGATGTTCCTGTCCTTGACCGTCGATTGCTTGTCCAAGGCAGAGATACGGCAGGACTGCATGAACTGTTTTTCTCGTTGGCTTTTGCGGACCTGGTCCAGAACGGGTACTTGCATCGCTGAGAACATCACGAGCTGACGGAGACATCGAAAGCTCGGCTTGGCGCAAAGTCCACGAACCTCTTCTTCGAGGTCTGCGATGGGTTGAGCCCCACGAGTACAAGCACAGAGGCAAAGCAGCTGCCTTCAGCAATGTGATCTTCTCATTGGTGCCTGACCATCAGGCCACATCAGATCCGCTTTCCCGGCCTACGCCTGGTACGCTGGCCGTACTTGCAGTATCAGCTTGGAGATCGAGCACCAGCGGCCTCTCTGGTAGCCACCGATTATACGGAAGTTCGAGAGCTCCTTGGGACGGAAGCTCTCCAACCAGACTGCTCCGCCATGCCCCGAGTTGAGCCGAGCCGCCAAAGCGAATGCTGTGGCGTTCGCGGCGCCTTCCAGCGTCCTTTGGAAGACCGGTCCCAACCTCATACACAAACTAGAGCCTTAAACAGAGCACTCTTGTCGGCACAATGGGAACGAGTCATTGGCATAATGGTTTCGTGACCCCAGGCTTCGTTTCCACCAAGATTAAAAAGTACCTGAAGCCAAGACAGTATTTCTGGAAAGCAGGATGCCATGCATGACTTGCAGGGCCTGATTCGGCCAAACTCGCTGCTTGGCTTGCTTCGTGAGCGCGCTGATCTTCTCATAGTCGTAGCGGACCTCGTGAGCAGATCGTCTTCCCATGGGCCTGTCGGACTAGGAAGCTGTCTATGTCCAATCCGAGCCGCTCCAAAGTAGATCTTCCCTGCTGGCTCCATCCTTATCGCACTCTGCACTTGCAAGCCGCACGTGAATCTTGAAAGGAATCGTAGGGTACGCTAGAATTAGCTTGGACATTTGACTCCCCAACCCCAGTTACCAGTTTCACGGTCTTCGCACAGCACCTGCAGGTTGTTTCTTCTCACATTCCCATTCCAATGTCTCTGCATGCCCATTTCGGTCGTATCTGCTGGTCCCAAGACTACCAGCGACTGCCATCCAGGCAATACTATGGGCTCGTATTGACAATTTGGGGGGCCACAGAAGCTGGAGGTTCGTATTGACGATAGTGGGGTGTTGAGCTTGCGGACAGTCCTCACTCCACAACCTTGACGCGGTGATCATGAGCAGCCATAAAAAGATCAACCACCTTTGCAAAGTGCGTCATTCTGTGAGCTGCTGTCCCAAGGGCAACTGCTCGTCGTCTTTGGAAGCTCCGATCGTGCGCTTTGGCCGTTGCAGCTCCACCTTCCCATACCAGCCATCATGCCTCGTGCAATTTAGCACGGCGCAGCTTCGCCTGGTTTGACCTCTACAAGTATGCCAAGCCCATCGAGGCAAGCCACAAATCCGAAACCTTGACTGTGCAACTGCCACACAGATCATCTGCAGAGAACTTGTCGTGGTCCATAACCTGAGACTCTAGATTCTGTCCTGTTGGCAGATATGCGTTACCGGAGGTTGTGAAAGCAACGAACCGACGGTGCCAAGGCGCGATGATTTCCAGTTCCTTGGAGAAACAACTCAGTTCTCAGAGTTTCGGCGAAGCCCCAGAAACATGCCTCTTCCTCGGCGAATGTCAACACGCCTTGGTACCTCATTGCGTTGGCTCTCGCACTCATCGAAACAAGCACTGCAGCAGCAGCGATTGCGAGACCAGGGTAATTAGTACATACTTTCATGTGCATGCATCATGGGTGTGGATGCACACCTGCAATCTTGCAGCACGCCGAATTCGTCCTGGCACCAGTTCCAACGGCCGTCGCGATCCCGGTGTCTTGGGCAGTGCTGGCCCATTCTTGCCCTTTTGCCGCCTCTGTCTGTCTGTGTCTGTGCTTCTGTTTGTTTCCAGGTGCACCCGCCTCTCTCTCATTCACTCCGTCGTCACTTAAGGGAGGAATAAGGCGCTCTTTGCTTTGCTTTGCTTTTGGGCCAAGGCCGTTTGCAGTCCTAGCGACCGGCACGTCAGCGCAATCCCATCCACTATATTGAAGGACGAGCTCAGCTGTGCAAGAAGGCAGGTGTGCCCCCGTTTCAAAGTTTCCGCTGGGGCGGGCGGCCCCACTTCGAGAAAGGGTAAGAACTTAGAACCACAAGCTGGTGCCTTGCTGCAGCAGTCGTGCTAACTTCCGCGGTGGTCCCCTTCCGTACCAAAACCAATCTACCTGCCTTAGCCTCTTCTTCTGTTTCCTGCCTTAGGTGAGGCCAGGCGCTCTTCTTCCACACAGCCAAGAGTGAGCAGGACCCTGCCCACCCCCCGCGCGTGCGCGCACTGCTTGTCTCAGCTCGGTGTGAAAACCGAAAGTATGAGGCCAGGAGGGTGTCAACACTTGGAAACCCCCTGAAGGAACACGAAAAAACCTTTACCCTCCGGCCTCATCCCAAGCAGGCGGTTACCGGCACTGTCTTGTCAACTCGCAGCCTATGCCACATTGACAATTCATCCCTCTTCCGGGCTTCTCAAACAACACAACAGCATCACACTATGCTCACAGTACTGCAACATGGTACCGGTTCGCAAAACACGCTTTCACAACAATCCAGCTGGCTGCCACACAGGCTGCTCCCAGGATACCCAGCAAGCAAAGACCCCGTCCCCCCATGAACGCGCACGCGTCAGGACTGAGGCCAGGCGCTCTCTCGCTCTCCCATGCTCTCTTTCGGCGGTTGGGCAATAGTAAAGCCCGCAATGGCCCTTTAGTTCACGTAAAAACCCTTCCACGAAGTGCGTTTGACTAAGACCAACCTGCGCTAATGCCTTGAACTTTGCGAAGCACTCTTCCGCCACCTGGCAGTCTTTCAACGAGTAAGTATCTGTCTCTGTCTGTATTTGCCCGTGTCTGTCTCTGTGTGTCTGTGTCTGTGTCTGTCTGTGTCTGTCTGTGTCTGTCTGTGTCTGTCTGTGTCTGTCTGTGTCTGTCTGTGTGTCTGTGTCTGTGTCTGTGTCTGTGTCTGTGTAATTCTGCTGTACATGCGAAAAACCTTGATGCCCCGCAGGACTTGACAGTGCAGGATGCAGCCATGTTCTCACGCAGTGACGT